CTTTTGAACTCTTGTAAATTTAAGTATCCACATTTTATTATAATAATAATAATTATTACTATTAATTAGCATATATTTGGAATCTTGATGTTGTAAAAGTGCTTTACAAATCACTTTTAATCATTTGATCCTCTCAACAATCCTGAGAGGTTAGTATTATTCCTTTTTTATTGAAGAGGAAACTAGGGCAGGCAGATATAAAATGACTTGCTCAGAGTCACAAAACTAGTAAGTGTCCCAGGCAAAATTTGAACTGGACTCTTCCTGACTGAAAAGTCCAACACTCTATCAACTGTTCCACCTACCTTGCATCACATTTATATATGATTTGCAAGATTTAAAAGTTAAGTTAAATGTTCATTTTCCCCCCATAGTCCTAAGTTCTTTGGATATTAAATGAAATGAAGTGATTAGAGATCCACTTACTGGTATAATTGTTACAGAAATGGAAACAAACAATGAGGGATTAGTTCCAATAGGGTCATTAGCTGAATACATCACAGTGTTTGCTAAAGACAGTGATAATTCCTAGACCACAATGCAGTTGAGGATAGATAAGTTTAAATAGTGATTGTCATAGGAAGTAGTGACATTTGATAGTTCTATCCTTAAGGTGGCAAAAGAGACTTCATAAAAGAGGCATTATTGTATGAGAGGAAGAATAGCAGACAAGGCTTTTAGAGACCTGGGCTCTAACTTTGGCTGAGAAATTTTACCTTTCTGACCTTAAGGGTTTTTTTTGGGGGGGGGTTGTGTGTGTGTGTGTGTGTGTGTGTGTGTGTGTGTGTGTGTGTGTATGTGTGTGTGTGTGTGTGTGTGTGTGTGTGTGTGTGTGTGTGTGTATTGTGCTTAAATATTCAGATGAAAAGATTGGACTGAACTCTTTCTAAGGCTCATTCTAACACTAAAATTCCAAGATAAGATCTATAACCCAAAGCAACTTTAGGACATATTGAGATATTAGTGCTGCTGCTGCTGCTGTACTACTACTACTAAATAACTTCCTCCCAGGGGGCAGCTAGGTGGCCCAGTGAATAGAGCACTGGCCCTGAAGTCAGGAGGACCTGAGTTCCAATCCGACCGAAGACCAAACACTTGACACTTACTAGCTGTGTGACCCTGGGCAAGTTACTTAACCCCAATTGCCTAAAAATTTAAAAAAAAAACTTCCTCCCACCCTTGTTTGACCTTCAGCTGGGGAGAGTATTTGCTGAATATTTAGGAGTTGCTAAAATGGCAAGGATACTTTTGTATTATCTGTGTCATACAGAAGCTGATCACTCATTTCTAGTGCTGTAATCTGCCTTGCTATCCAAAAGCTTACTTGACTATTCTTATTTTCTTGCCTATCTTAAAGGAAATTCAGCAATACGCAGTACTTACTAAGTTACTAATGTTCAGAAAGATGGTACCAACCAGAAAAACGAAATGCTACCTGTGCCAGCTGATGAAGAGAAGTCCCTAGTTTCTACATCGGATATTCCTGATAAAGAATTCATACTGCCCATTTCAGAATGGTCCCCTGTTTTTTTCCCTTCTCTTTTCTGGCTTTCAGAATGGTGCATATCTGAAGGATTTGCAAATTCAGTCCCCTGTCTGGATGATCTGATTATTTCCAAGTGTTGATTAAAGACTTAACACTCTACAGCCAAAGTGTTTCATCTTAGAGAGACTTTGATCTTAGGTATGTAGTAGCAGTAGTCAGCACATTTCTTACTACTGTAGAAAATTCATCTCTGTAAAAATGTATAGATAACATGACTCAGAAGGGATTTTTGACAGAAACAACAAAATATGTGTTTAGGCTTTTAGCTTACAGTTGATAGGTAAATTTATGGGTTGAAGTACATTGGGAGAATGCACTCTGCTGATACTCATCACTCAGAAGAGAGTGGCAGCTCATCAGCCATTCATGAACATAGAGAGTTAGTTGCCTTTTGCACCATTTTTTTTTCCTGGAAGAAATTACTGACCTGTTATATGGTAAAGTAAGAATATTTTCTTCTGATAATTTTCCAAAAATGAATACTCCTATATGATTAGGGTTCAGAAAGTTTTTAATCTCGATGCATTGCCCTTTTATCTTTTGAAACTCACATTAATAAAAATATTTAATATAATATAATCTGAAGTAATCTCCATTTTGTTTGTGTTAACAAGACTCATGAATCATAAAATTATGGTATTAATGGTAGAAAAGACATTAGAGATCATTTGGACCAAGTTAGAGATAAGATCTTCCACATCTCTGAAGAATTCAGATGCTACTTGCACAATTCCAATAACAAACAATTCACCACTTTTCAAGGATACATTTCATTTTGCAAGTAGAAAATATTTCCTTAAATTGAGCTGTAATAGGCCTTTCTAAAACTTCTACCCTTTGCTCATCATTACATGCTCTGGGGATAAACAGAAGAGAGTTATGCTTTCTTTTACAAGACAATCCTTTAAATACTTGAACACAGGTGTCATATCTTCTCTAGGTAAAACTTCTGGTTTCTTCAGTTTATTTTTAAGAAATATAATCCTAAGACCTTTTACCACCCTATTCACAATATGTTATCTAATGCATTTCAAAATATTAATCCAAGAAAGGGTCCATAGCCTTCACTTGGCAGCTGAAGATATCCAAGACACCAGAGGGTGCTATGTACCAGGACCAGACATCATGCCCTGGAGGTTATAACCCTTTCATGTTTGGAAACTTTGCCCTGAAGCCTACTGTCCTCATTGGTGGCTACCACACATGTTTCACTATATCTAAACAGGCTCCAGCTATATTTTACTTTGTTCCCTGGCCTGCCACCTTGTTGCACGTGCATACTTGTTGATCCATCCCTTCTCCCTCCCTTTGCATGTTCAGGAACTATAATCAAATCAATATCACCGATGTTGTGCAACATATTGTTTTAATCTACTCCCTTATGATTCCATTCACCATTCCTATAACTTTAACAACTAAATCCCATGCCCTAGACTCTACTCTGCATATATATATATATGTGTGTGTGTGTGTGTGTGTGTGTGTGTGTGTGTGTGTGTGTGTGTGTATACATATATATACATATATATGTGTGTGTGTATACATATATATACATATATATATACACATATATACACATATATACATATATATATATATATATACATATATACATATATATACATATATACACACATATATATATATATACATATATATACATGTATATGTTATTTTCACCTATTACAAAGTAATCTTCTTAAGGACAGAAGCTGTCCTTGTTTTTTGTATTTATATTGATCCCTATCACTTTTCAAAGTGTTTGGAAGAAAATAAAAGCTTAATAAATGCTTCCTTCCTTCCTTCCTTCCTTCCTTCCTTCCTTCCTTCCTTCCTTCCTTCCTTCCTCCCTCCCTCCCTCCCTCCCTCCCTCTCTTCCTTCCTCCCTTCCTTCCTTCCTTCCTCCCTCCCTTCCTCTCTTCCTTCCTCCTTCTTCCTTCCTTCCTTCTTCCTTCCTTCCTTCCTTCCTTCCTTCCTTCCTTCCTTCCTTCCTTCCTTCCTTCCTTCCTTCCTTCCTTCCTTCCTTTCTTCCTTCGTTTTTGAATCAACTAAAAACTTACCTATCATGCTACATATATTTCTAAGTTATATTTGCAATGAACTTTCATTGATAATCACTTAATTGGTCAAATGAAGTACTACTGTTAAGTGTAACTATGATAACCTTGAGTTTTTGAAAGTTATATTAGTAGAACACAAGCTGTGGAAGATCCTACTAAGCTAGAAAAAAAGTTTTAAGAAATGGGCCCAATGATAGATTGTATGAATTTTTTAAAAGAAGAAATAGTCTAGCTAAGTGTGGAAAGTTTCATCATCATGAGAATACATGAGATTTATTATTTTGACTATAGATATCCATGAAGACAGTTGACCAAGTCTTAAAAGTGATGCAGTGTTCATTGTTGGGATACATTCCAACATTGATGAAATCACAGAACCTGTGAAGCATTGAGAAAAATCACGAGACCTTTAGTCAAATCATCTATAGAAATGAAGATATACTATATTTAACATTTCTGGTCAATGATTTAGATGGAAATATAGGAAGCATACATCAGATCTTCAGATATTATAAGGTTGGACGCTGATGCATAACTAATGGATATAGCACTGGGCCTAGAGTCAGGAAGATCCAAGTTCAAATCTAACTTTGGAAACATACTAGCTGTGTGACTGTGGGCAAGTCATTTAATCTCTGTCTGCCCCAGTTTCCTCATTTTAAAATGTGGATAGTAATAGCATCTATCTCTCAAGGATGGTGTGAGAATAAAAAAGAGATAATATTTGTAAAGTGTTTTGCAAACCACATAATACTGTATAAATGGTGGATATGATGATGATGATCTTAAAAATCTGGGTAGCATGAGTATATTTAAAATGTTTGATAAAATATTTATTCATAGATGAACAATAATAGATTCAGTCTCTTATTATTATTTTTAAAAACAAAGAAATGAACAAACATGACGTTCCTCATTAATGATAAACCAAGACTTTTTTTTGTTTTATTGCTTTTTAGTCTCTTACCCTTTTCTAGTTCAATATTACCTATTTCAGCAATCCTAAGTCTGACTTTATGATCATATTTGTCAAGCTTCCCTCTTTTACTGATCACTGGCTAGAACACTGTGATCTAACAGCCAGTGGTTCTAAAGAATGTTCCAAAGAAATCTACTAACATCAATTCTCATTTTTTGAGGAAAAAAATTTCCAAAATTTATTCCTTCCCTATTAATCTCAGTGCACAAATGTTGAACCCTCTAGCTTTGCAGCTTAATACATTGTTTGATATTTTGTTCATTTGCTCTCTTTCTAAGAAATCTCTCTTTGTCTGTTCTAATTAAGTCATAATAATGATAGTGCTAGATGAATATGACTAAATGGAAACTTTCTAAAGACAATAGTGTAAATAACATTTTTATCCAGGTTAAAAACTTAACTCATACTTCATCAGAAGCCTTTTACAAAAGAGGTAATTCAAAAGCCACACAAGTTGTCATTTCCCCAACGAAAGATGTGAGCTATCTTAAGCAAGAGCATGACACATTGTCTAATACAAACAATTGAAATGTAATATTTGACTGTCAGCTGCCAAAATAACACAAATGAACAGAATAATAGAACTCGGTGATTTTAACAACTTATTACAGAATACCTTGCCGTGTTCAAACTGCAAGAAGAAAACACCATCAACAGCTTATGAGGCTTGCATTATATAACATACTTGAAGGACAGACAATCAAGTGTAGAGAATCTTACGTTCTTGGAAAGACGTGAAGAGCATCTGGAATCTACTGTTTCGACTGCCCTCATCTGCCCACATTCGGATTACCCCCAAGACCTGTGCGCAGCATCACATCATTAGCCACAGTACTACAAAACTTAGCTTTCAAATCCTCTACCGAGCTGCTCCCATCATAGACGGCCACAAAATTCCTTTTGCATTCATTTGAATTTTGCATCTCATAGTCCAAGAATCGTAAATAAATCTGAAAAAAAGTCAAATAATTCCCATAAATCAAAATGTTGTGTTTCAGTAAATAGAATCTTGCCTCCATTTATTTTAAAGACACAGTCGGTTGATTTTAATCAGGTTTCATAATTGTGTGAGAAACTAACAATTCACAAGATCCAGAATTTGTTCCAAAGCATCCTCCTGACATTATTTCCCCTAGTAGAATCCTTAAATCCAGATATCTTCTAAGGTTTGTCATTTACTTATTCTGAAGCTATTTCCCTAACAGTGTTATTAATAATGTAAATGTATGTGCCACTTGATATTTGAAGCATACTTTACGATGAATATGTTTACTTATTTGCTGCATCGCCTTTGTTAAATATCCATTATCCTCATTTAACATGAAATGGAGAGGAAAATGGGTCCATGGAACATATTGATATACTAAGGAGTCAAACAGTAAACCAGGAGAGAAATTTTTTTTTTAAAAAATCTATTTATTGCAAAATTAGAGGAACCATACTAAATAATCTTTAAGTTGTACTAAATGATTTTTAAGATTCATTCCAATTTTGACATCCTATGATTTTAAATAATAAAACAAGGAGCTCTTTAAAAAATGATTGCATACATAATCGACAGCAGAACAAGTAAAGGGACATTCAGCCTGTAACTTCAGCTAAATTCAATCAGTCAAAGTTTGTTAACCTGCTGTTACAATTAAGAGACTTGCAAACATTGCCATTCTGCCTGCAGAATTGTGTCAGAACCACACCCAATCAATTCCAATAAAAGTAAAGGTGGCATGGCTCTGGAACAATTCTGCCATGAGGCACATGGGCATTGCCTAAATGTCTTTTCTCATTCCTCCTTTTTCTTAACGTGAAGAAATCAGTCTACCACATATCAGGCAACATCTTCCCTTAGTCTAATACTGACTGATATCATCATATAATGAGGATTATATGTTAACATGCTAAATGCAGATTGGATTCTTAGCTATGATATAATTCTATATAAATCTCTCTTATAGTAATTTCTTGTGGAGTTTCATAAGATGTGAATCTAACACAATCATTTATCCATCTTATAGCAGGTTAAATTTTCTCAATATACGAAGAAAAGGTCAGGTATTTGTTGTAAATTCTGTCCCCAAAGATGAATTATCCTCTGCAGTCTTTAAAGCCATCGTATAAATGGTAATAGGTTTTCATTAAACTTTATAAGAGATTATATGTAATAATGCTTAAAATCTAATACTTAGAATAAAAATGTCCCATGTATATTGGGGAAAAATTTTGTGGGAAGTACAATAAAATTCAGAGGCATGTGTTTCTTATAACAAACTATGATGATACGACAAGTAAAACATTCCATGTCTTCTTAATGATGAAGAAATATAAGTGAAGTTCAATTTGATCAAATGCCCATCTTTATTTCTTAGATAATTAAAGGTTCATATAGAAAGATTAATCAAGACTGAATTTTATTTTATTATAGCATACATTTTCACAAGTCTTTAAAAATATTAGAAAAAAATCCAAGTTGAGGTTGATGCACAATTTCCAAATTCCTGGAAGTGGAATAAAAATTAAGTTACATAAATGTAGAGTTCTGAAATTTCCCCTGAGAATTGTTATTTAATAATTTCCAGACCAATTTGAATATCAGTTGCTTTATTTTATCAAATAGCTTATTATTTCTTACTCATAATCTGCTAGTGATCCACTTGGACTAAATAGTCTCCTGTTAGCATTTATCAAAGTATCTACATAGCTGTTAAGATGTCCAGTTCATATTTCCTATCTATGCAATTTAAAATCCAGACAGTCTAATTGGCTTCAAGATATTATAATCTCATGAAATGTTAAATCCAACACTAATTTTATTGTATTATTTCCTACGTATCATCCTGCTACCTACAAAGGAAAGAAGTTTAAATATGTTGTTAAAAGAAGAAAAACAGTCTTCCAACATCTTTAACAACATCTAAAAATCTATGAATTTTTGGCATAGCAGTATTAAATCTTCTCTACATAAGGAAGGAACAGCTAGATGGCACAGTGGTTAGATTGCCAGGCCTGGAGTCAGGAAGATTATTCTTCCTGAGTTCAAATCTAATTTCAGACACTTACTAGCTGTGTGACTAAGCAGGTTACCTAAACCTGTTTGCCTCAGTTTCCTCATCTATAAAATGGGCTGGCGATGGAAATGACAAGCCAAGAAAACCCCAAATGGGGTCACAAAGAGTCAGACACAACTGAAAAATGAACAACGTATAAGGAAGGTAAAAGATATATTTAGATTTTGAAATACTACAAGAAGATGAATTCGGCTTGATTTATGAACTCTTAATGAAACTACCATGTCTACAAAGAATGCAGTCATGCAAAGAAGAATGTCACAAAACAAGCAATCAGCTCTATTTTTGAAATGTTGTGCAAAGAAACCACTGAAATCTGAAACTAATATTAAATATGCACTATTTTTCCCCTAAGGATTTTCGAAGACTTACAATTCAAAACTAAGATCTACGTACAGAAGATTAAGTGAGGAACTAAGGCAATAACCTTGGACAAGTGATTTTATTTCTCTAGGCTTACCATTACCTCATCTTTAAAATGAGGGAGTTGGACTAGATATCCTTCAATATCCTTTTAATCTGCAGTTCTCTAACTTTGCACTGTAATTTAGAGTCTACCTAGTGTTTCTGACACTAGACTGGCTCTCTCTCCACAACTTCACATTTCCTCTAGCCAGTTATTACTATATTTACCCAACTTGTCATTAATAGAACATTTGCTGTATATTCTTATTGAAATGAAGTATTTGATTAACAAGTTCTTCATTGTCCATGTCAAGAAATGTTGCAACCTTAAGGGAAAAAAAAATGACATATAGTTCCCATTACCTCAAAAGAGCTCAAGCACAGTGAATATCACAATGTAAGAGGGATTTATAAAAAATTCAGGAAAAAGTATTCCCTGGCAGTAAATGAATTCCCTGAAATTCTATAAGCCAAAGATCATTCTTTATAAAGGGTAGTTCTAAAAGAGATGGTATGAGAATATGTAGAATATAATCCTGCTATCCATTTAGTTTTACTATAGAAATTTCTATATTTTCTATCATAGCTGATTTATTTATATTCTTTTAAATTTAATTACTAAAGTTTACACGCATTCTTTATTTAAAGGTCATTCTTATTTTTTTTAAAAGGACACGATTTCAGAGGTTCAATGAATAGCCAGTTTCTGCCTTTTTTTATATATTCTCTTCCTGTTGGGCTTAATGAAATCATTTTAAATACTGATCTTTAGTCATTTGAAAAACATCATGCAGCACACTAGGAGGGTATTAGTTTTTACTGAAATCTGCTATATTTCTGCAATGCCAAGTGCCATTAGCAATAGAAATGATAAAGCTTCTCCACAGCTGTGCCACATATAATCTGTACCCATTATAACATTATGATTTAATAATTATCATGTCACCTTAAAGGATGGAGATCACAATAAAGGAAAAAAAATACCTACTACATGGTATTAAAAAAGAACAAACTTAAATTAGAGAATAAGAGAAAGCTTTCCTGCATCCATATTGAAGAAAAGGAATGATGATAAACTGTGAATAATATTTAACTTCAGTAAAACAGTCAGATTATAATCTCTGCACAGTGAATCACTTTTGATGAGCTCTTCTTTTTAATCAATCACCAGAGGTTTGAACTGACAAAATGATAGATTAAGCAGATCATGAAGAGCTCCAGAACATTTAAATGATATCCAGCAGTATCTGACTTAATAATCAAACCATAGTGTGGAGGGAAGAGAATAATTTTTTAATGTACAAAGCAAATAAAACTAGAAATTCATTTACCAAGCAGTACATTCACAAATAGAAGCATATTTTCAGCTTCTCTTATTGTTCTTTTTTTTTTTACCTTCCCTGCAGGATGATATATAGATAAGTGATTATTTAGGATAGTTATCTGATAATTGTCCCAGCTAATTTAATGTAAATTAAAATTAAATATGTGGATAGCTAGGTGGCTTAGTGTGTGGAGCACTGGGCTTGGAATCAGGTAGACTCATCTTCCTCTGTTCAAATCCAGCCTCAGATATTTACCAGTTGTTTGACCATGGACAAGTTACTTAAGCCCATTTGCCTCAGTTCCCTCACCTGTAAAATGAGCTGGAGAAGGAAACCATGAAACCACTCCAATATCTTTGTCAAGAAAACCCCAAATGGGAGCATAAAGACTCAGATATGACCAAAATAACTCAACAACAACAAAAACTAAATATACCAGAAGCTGTCTAATATTTATATAATCATTTGGAATAATGTCTTTGGGTCTGTGCTTATAGACTATGTCAGAGGTAAAACACTCTTATTGAAGATGATGGAAAATAATATCCCCATTTCCCTTTATCATTGAAACAGGCTACACCATGCCACACCCTAGCATTTTTCTCCAGAAAGATCAGTAGCAGGGACATTTTAATATTTTTGGAAAATATCAAAACTACAGTCTTGTCAAGGGTAGAATTCAGAATGATCATATCAATGTTGAAAAGGCATAGAAACTTATGAAGCAATAAGGACTTGTACTATGCCAATGTTCCCATAATGGCAGAGAACTTGATAATGAAATTTTGGCATATATAGGGATTCAAATTCATTCTAAATGATTCACAGAATATATAGTAGAATCATAAAACTGCAGAATTATAAAAGAAGGGGAAAAATCTCATTCAGGATAAAGTAGAAGTGCAACATTTTGAAAAAAATCCCTCATTTACCTCCATTAAAATCATCGTCAAATACTTTATCGTGGCTTGGATGCAACCCTGGGCCTTCATGAAAACCATGCCACCAGAGCACAAGCTGTGGCAGATTCTACCAAGACAGAGGACTGCGAGCAATATTGGTGACAAATTCTATGTATACTATCCAAGGATCACCAAGTATGTTAGGTATTTCTTGCTTCAAATTCTCATAGAATTTTAGAGTTACAAGGACTCCTTGGTATCCAGTTCAGGCCTCTCTTTTTGGACATGCCACTAAGAACCAGAAGGTTAGTCACCAGAAGGTGATGAAAAGTTTAGGACCAAATTACCTATGAAGATCATCTACTAAGAGGTATAGGTTGCAACCTGCATTAGTAAAGTCAGTACCCAGACCAAAGAAATGAGAAGTCATTCAAATATTGGAGCATTGGGCCAATTAATCTTTTATATTAATTTGATCATTTTCATTCAAATGTTGCAGCAGGATTTGTACATAGAACACTAAATACTGATTTCATTTGAGAAATAATCTTATGTTTGAGATTTGATTCTGCCAAAATCTGTTATATGAAAGTAATTATTTCATTTTCATATTCTTAGAAATCATTTGGATCTTTCTCTTTTTAAGGAGAATGAATCTTCTCCAGAAGTCCAAACTTACAGTGTACAATCTTAATATCCGCAATAGATATCATGTGCCTGTGTGTAGGTATACACACACACACACACACACACACCCCTATATGTATATGTATATATATACACACACACATAAGTATATAAATATGTATGTATATACGTATGAATATATATATATATAAATATATATATATATATAAAACTGTAAAACAGCTTGTCACAGATAATACATTGTCATATTTAATTAGTCTTTATTTCCTCTTGAGCAATAATACTGCCTAGTTTTCCAATATTAACTGTGACCTACTGTATAATCAAAAGAAAAGTAAAAACTGAAGTATTTTCAATATTAATCACTATACCTTGAAATATTCTATTTTTAAAAGCAATCTTACAAATACAGAAAGCCCATCCTGGTGATCTCAAGCTCCTGGTTTGCTCACCAGTTAATCCAGTGCCATTTTTTATCCTCTAACCTTTAATTTAACAGAAAAAGTCTGTCACAGTATAGTCATCTTTGTCTAGCTCTGCAGGTAACTTTCTCTTTGGGTCATAGAATGCCAAGCAGTATAACAGACAGGTACGTTCCATTTTACTGCCCTGGGATTATACAAAAGACAGTCTATTTACTAGCATAAGGGAAGGGGCGTGGGTATATACTCTTTTTTGAAAACTGCTTGACAGCAAAAGTTAGTTATAATGATAAGCAGGGAGGAGGGCCCCTGCTGTTCTCTAGCAAAATGTCCTTTTAAAAAATCCTTCATTGACAGGGATTTAGAATGAAATTGTTTATGCATACATCTTTCTTGCACATGGCTATTTTACAATGGTTATAATTCAAGGCATGATCAATCTCAAGTCTCATACAATTTTGAGCTAAAAGTTCCCTTAGGGAACTGATCAACCTCTTTTTGCATGGACTGAAAACTAATCCAAAGATATTATGTGACATGCCCAATCCAGACACAACTGCCCAACCCATACAGCTAGGTGGTTAAACCAGAGTTTGATAATAAGTCCCTTGATTTTAATTCTCATGTTCTCTCCAGCAGGCCACACTGCCTTTGTTAGACTATATCATTTCACCTTTCTTCCCTATTTGGTGTGTTAACATGTAAGACATCATCGATTCTCCAATTTTTAGGAAGAATCATTTCCTCTGCCCTCTGGGGTATATGACAGAACTTTAAATACTATACTTGCATATTCTGATGTAATATTGGTTTTGGATGTGTATCTACAGTATTTAATGAAAGTAGATACATAGTAGATACTTCATGAATTTTATTGATGCATTTGTTCATTGATGTTACACCCAGTGCTATATAAAGAATTTAGGTTGTTTACCAAAGTGACCTTCTAATGTCAAGATAATGGCATAGTAAGTGATCCTTGGCAGATTTGTCCACCTGCTAACAAAGGCACACTTGCAGTCAGAGGCTGGTTTATCTGTGTTCACTTTCCTATTTTTCATGCATTTCAGAGACCTGGTTTTAAAAGGAAAAAAAATATGTGAAAAAAATATATATTGAATTTCCCTGTACAACTGGAGGTGGCCTTACAACTCCAGCATAGCTCCAATACTTAATACTTAGATAAAGTCTTAAAAAAAGTTCTAATCCACTTTGCATCCATTGCTCTTCCTGGTTTCAACTCCTGGGAACAAGATGCCCTTCTCAGGTTAAGCACATCATTTGCTAACTCAAACCTTAATTAATACCACTTCTGGCAGTCTCCCCTCCCCTCTGATTGAAGGACTGGAGGATGCAGTACTAAATTCTTCCCAATACTTTCCTTTATAAAGGGCAGAAAGTGGACTCTTAGCTCATTCTACTTTACATCTTCAGCTCTTCCTTGTTTCAACTCCACAGAACAAGATTCCCATAGAGCCCTTGCACTCAACCACTCTCCTTTTCTTCCCCCTTTTTTGTATTATCTCCCCCATTACATTATAAACATCTTGTGGGAAGGAACTGTCTTTCTTTTTATTAATTGTATCCCCAATGCTTAGCACAGTTCATGGTAGATAGTAGGTGTTTAATAAGTGTTTGCTAGATTATAGGATAAATTATCCCTGCTCTCATAATTGTATAAATTTGGGCAAGTTAGTTAATCTTATCTCTTCTTTACTTTCCAAATATTATATACATATACATATATATATATATACATATATATATATATATATATATAATAAAATCAAGCCAACAAACTTTTATTAAGTACTTATATATTCACATATAGTAAAATTGAGTCAACAAGCATTTGTTAATTATTTGCTTACTATGTGATAGGCACTCTAGTAAACACTGGGGGTACAAAGGTATAAAAAATAGTTCCTATCCTCAAGTAGTATACTTTGTAATGGGGGAGACAACATGTAAATTGCTAGCTAAATACTCTATAAATGGGTAAATAGATAGACAGATAGATAGAATATATATCCCTATAGTATCTATTTAGTTGTTTGTACTTTGTGTGTATATATGCGAACATACATATGTGTATATTATATATGTATATATTTCTGTGTATGTGTTTATATATGTATGGGTATGTGTGTGTGTGTGTATAGAGAGTAGCTTATATCAAAATAAAGCTGAACATACTTAAGTGTGGATGTGAGGTAGGAATGCTTCCCAGGCATGTCGACAGAAGTTGGCATGCCTCTTTTTTGTCCTCCCTTTATGTGTGTGTGTGTGTGTGTGTGTGTGTGTGTGTGTGTGTGTGCGCGCGCGTGCGTGCATTTACATATTTTATACATACATATACATTTATGCATGTATATATTGTATGTATATATACACACATATACAGACAGACACACACACATATATGTATATATGTGTATATGTGTGTATACACACACACACACACACACACACACACATTTCCCTAAATGTTATACTTTGATTAGTGGCAATACCACCAACACTGCAGTATCCCAGGCTCAACCTTGGAGTCATCTTCATCTATTCCGTGTCTGTTACACTACAAATCCAAAAAGTTATCTGGTCCTTTTCATTTCTATTTCAGCATTATGTCTTGTAACTCTCTTTTCTCTGCTCTCACTAAATCAATGCAGTTTAGGCACTCAACTCTTTCTGACTAGACTATTGGAATAGACTTTTAATTTGTCTTCCTACCTTTATGCCATCCTTTCCCCAATCCATAAGTCAGATAGTAATCTGATTAATATTCCTAAGATATTTCTATGGCTCATGATACTTGTCTATTTCAAAAACATTTAATGTAACCCTGTGTAACTTCAAACTGGCATGGAGCTCCACATTTATTTCATACTGTTCCACTACATGTGGTCTATTTTCTTAGTCAAACTGGACTACATTTTTTCCCACATTCTTGCCTGTTTGCTTTCAGTCCTTTGACTTTTTATATGCTGCCTGGATTAGACTTCTTCTTCCTCCGCCTCCACCTATTTTTTTTTGACTCACCTTCCTAGCTTCAAGATACAACTAAAGTCCCACCAAAGATACTACTTCCTCCAGGATACTTTATCTTACTCTCACATATTGGATTTGTAATAATAATATACTTGTATCTCTCCTTTGCATTTATCTTACTCTTGTGTGCATCAGAGTTATTTGATATTTGTTTAACTTTTCTTTCTTAACTTTAAGCTCTTTGATACATCCCATCTGTCACCTATAGCTGCTACATACTTAATAAATGTTTATTTTCCTGGCATTGGTTGTAATGACTTGCACATAATAGACACTAAATAAATGTTTATTGGGTTAATTGGTCACATTTGTAAATAATGGAAGAAATAATATCTGCATCTTTCTGTACACATACACACATAAACAAAAACCCAATACTAGATAGATGATATAAAGGTAATAGACACCTATAATTCTGAAATTGTTTTTGAAAAAAATACCCAGTATATCAATACTAGGAATTACTATCAAAAAGTGATAAGAGGTGTAACATAATAAAAAACAACAATCAATCACAAATCTAAATAATTATGGACACCTAGCTATAATTTAAATCAATTAAGGATTGATAAAAAGAAAAAAAAATGAAGCTGCTTTACCAACAATGACTTAAAATTACGTATCCTAGGAATTTCCCCTGAAATCATGGCAATATCATAGGTAAATAAGCATGGCTGCATTAACATTTTCAATTCAATAAATTAGTTTAGGTCACATTATATTCAAATGTAATGATAAAACTCTAACAATAAAGAGCAAAATTATCAGGACCATAATGGATTCGTGAACTTTTTACCTATTCTAAGCCAAATAGATAAGGTTATTTTATGGGCTATTATCTACATTACAAAATTATCACTTTGGCACACTATCAGTCCATAAGTTTCTTTGACAATTGAGAGATGACAAATTTCTTTCCAAAGTAGAAATAAAATAGTTTGCAAGTTCAAATTAGAAGTGGAATTTTAAAAGCACTCATTACCTCCACCTCTTTTTCAAAGAAATACACAATATATAGTCGGTGGTTAGTAAAGCCAATTTGTAAACTGACTTTCCAGTCGGTAGTGGGATGGAAGACTGACCTTGGATCGTGGTGGGGCTCGAATGTACCATTTACAGTCAACTGCCTCAGTGGCAGAAGCTTTTCCTTCCTTCATAATTTGTACAGATTCCACAATTCCTTCAGGTCCGCCCATTTCAAACTCACACACTAAATAAAATACCAAAGAAACAAAAAAGGGAACTTCAATAACAACCCAGAAATATTTTCTAAAACAAAAATCAAGACCTTGGGATATCATGAAGTATCTAGTATACCAACCTGGTAATGGTTTCAAAACTCCAAGGTCCTTAAAGTCAGGATCTTAAAATTGAGGAAAAAAAAACAATTAGTCCTATTCTGTATTTTTAATGAAAGTAATATATAAAAATATTCCGCTCAATAATTCAGGAAACTATCTAAAAGAATCACTATATCTTGTTAAATTAAATAGCCATTAAAAAAGGAAAATTTTAAAATTTAATTTGTACCTGATTTATGTCAAAATTTAAAGACTTTCTCAACTTCAAAGAAATTCTCTTCTTTAAGTCTTTTTGCTTCTTGACTTCATCACCTAAATATAGTGTTGTTAAGTGTCAAACATGTATGGCATTTTGATGTGTTCTTATGAACTCTAACCAAAAGCAGTCAAAGGTAATAAAAGTAATACATATTCTACACATATTTGCCTTGCCAAGTCACTGGGTCAGCCTTATTCCAATAGTCACTTACATAGACTATGTTCTGATACTCCATACATGATATTTGTTGTTGTTGTTGTTGTTGTTGTTGTTGTTGTTTGTTTCTGGTTAAGGACAGTATAAATATTTGTGCCCTGTTTCAGCTTACGATTGTGCTAATGGAATCTCAAGTTTGGCATTCATAACCTGAGGGATCATTTCCCTTGCCTCAAGACACACTATCCAGCCTATGTGGCAATTGTAGCCAATATAGAGAAATCCCAAATTTCTGTTCCTCCAGTGCTAGTCTCACTACATCACATTTTTCCATGTATGGTTTAGTTAAAATACTTAAGTTGAATTTATTTCACAAAATTCCCACAAAATATACAGCTTACAAAAATGAACACTTTAGCATACACTATTCAAATGAGACTGTTGAACTTAAATATAAAACAAATTAGAATAGTTTAATAAAAGATTATTTCTAGGTATTAGGGAGGTGTGTGTGTGTGTGTGTGTGTGTGTGTTGTTTACTGTTGTAGTTGTTGTTGATGATGATGGATGATGTTGCCGTTGTTTGTCCTTCATTCTCAAAGAGGACCATGACATCAGGAAGATGATGTCATGGCTCGAAAATGAATTGAATTTAAGTGAGGGAGGGCTGTGTAAAGTCACCAGCCTCACTTTCTTTTCCTGAGTCATCTGGGTGCAGTGTCAAGATATAGATCAAGATGACTGGAGATGGTACGAGTTGTCAGGATGACTGGAGATGGCCTCAGATTTCAGGGTGTGTGTGTGTGTAGCCATCAACTGAATGGCAGATGTGATTAATTCAGTTATCTTTATTACTGATATTTCTGGTCAAATCAACAGGCTACTTAGCTGCAGAAGTCATTACAATAGGTGAAATGAATGATTTAGAATACCAAGGATTAGTTATTTCACCTATTTAGACTAAGCCTAATTCTTCTTCTATGATTTTGAAAAGCTATGCATCTCAAGTACTTTGTAAGTTTATAAACAAGCTGTTTTTTCATCTTTAGCAAAAATAAAATTTACTGTATGTCCATACCAAAGTAAAAACAAAAAAAAAAAAATCCAAAACACGAAGATAGGAAAATTATCAAATACTGTGTCGAGTGCTCTGCAGTGTCCACTGTTGTTTCCCCAAACACAATCACATTCCCAACTTCCCTATTTTTGTTGATGGCACTTTCCAGATCAGTTAGGCTCAAAACCACATGATCATCTTTTACCCTTCTCTCTTCTTCATCCCCCACATCATATCAGTTGCCAAACAGTGTCCATTTGGCTTCCTCCACATGTTTAGCACCCATCACCTTCTCTTCACTCACATGGATATCTTTTTAGATAAGGCCTCACACTGTCAAAGATTTAAAGGTAGAAGAGAACTTAGAGATAATGAAGTCCAATCCCCTGATTTTATAGATGAAGAATCTATGGCCCAAAGAGGTTCAGTGATTTGCACAGGGACATACATCTAGTGTCTGAAGTGGAATTTGAACCAACATAGTCTGAAATCCATTTCTACTGCTCAACTCTAAAACAGGGCCTATTTTAAATTGCATAACATAAATATGCAGTGAATGTCAAGCCTGGTTCTATGACATTCTTCAGTTCTATTTCATCATTAAGTAAGAGAGAGAAGGTGGGAAAGATTCAGAGTAGGGGTCTGGCAACACTTAGGTATTGATAGGTTAAGGACAGGGTTCATAAAAAATTCATTCCAGGAGCCAAGATAGTGGAGTAAGCAGTAAATCACTGTAACTCTTCTATATTCACCTCCAAACAACCATAAAATAGAACTCCAAAACAAATACTGAAACAACAGAACCAGCAAAAAGATAGGGTAAAACAATCTTTTAGCCCAAGAAACTTGGAAGATTGGCAAGAAAGGTCTGTCTCACTCAAGTAAAAGGGGAGCACATTCCAGGACAGGAAGCCTCCCAGTTAGCTAGTAGCAAGTCTCACCTCAGCAAATCACTATGAGATCCTGAGCCCAATTGTGGTGGAGCAGGAAAATGCCAACACCAGGACCCTTTCATGTGCCTTAGCTTAGTCAGGGGGGACCAGCAGATTCCAGTTCCAAAAAACACCATGTACTTTAGTGTAGTCCCAGCCAAACAGATATCCTCCAGTGGCCAGACCTCCACATGCTTCAGTGTAGCCCTGGGGAAAGGCAGAAACACCCCACTGGAACTCAGAACATTCCAGACACCACCAGCAGGACCCCAGCTCAGTCTGAGAAAGCTGCCAGACCCCTACACTCTCCAGCAGTGCCATTCACCCACACCCCACCCCTTTAGCACAGCACCAGACATGAGAGTCCCCCAGGGCCTCAGGACAATATCAGTGCATCACCAGGTAAATAGCCAGGACCAGCAGTCCCTGGAACAAGAAGCCTGAGACAGCACCCCTTCCACCCCAGGTACAGAGCTCACATTTAGAAGAAAGTAAAATGAACAAAAAAAAATCAGCAAAAAACAACAAAAAAAGAATCTGACAAAGTTATTATGCTGAGATGGAAGAACAAGACATAAATTCAGAAAAGGACAACAATGTCAAACACCTATGAGCAAAACCCCAAAGAAAAATGGGAAGTGGTTTCAAGCCCAGAAAGAAATCATGGAAGAGCTCAAAAAGGAGCTTAAAATTCATATAAGGGAAGTAGAAGAAAAAAATGGGAAAAGAAATGAGAGGGATGCAAGAGAAGTATAGAAAAAAAAGAGTAAACAGCTTGGAAAACTGCTTAAGACAGAAATTGAACAAATGAAAAAGAAGATGCAAAAATCCATTGAGGAAAACAACTCTTAAAACGTACAACTGAGGGGCAGCTAGTTGGCGCAGTGGATACAGCACCTTCCCTGGAGTCAGGAAAGCCTGAGTTCAAATCTGGCCTTAGACCAAACACTTAACACTTACTAGCTGTGTGACCCTGGGCAAGTCACATAACCTCAATTGCCTAAAAAAAAAGTACAATTGGACAAATGGAAAAGAGAGTACAAAAGCTAATTGAGGAAATTAACTCATTAAAATTTAGAATTGGGCATCAGAAGCTAATGATTCTATGAGACATCAAGAATCAATCAAATAAATTCAAAAAAATGAAAAAAAATTGAAGAAAATGTAAAATACCTGAAGGGAAAAGAAAGACTGACTTGGAAAACAGATCTAGGAGAGGCAATATCAGAATCATTGGACTACCTGAAAGTCATAATCAAAAGGAGGACCTCAACAGCACCTTCCAGAAATTACCAAGGAAAACTGCTCTGATGTCCTAGAACCAGAGGACAAAATAGGCATTTAAAGAATCCACCAAGGGTGAAGCCAAGATAGTGGAGTAAAAGCAGTGGTGTGCTTGAGCTCTTCCCCAAACCCCTCCAAATACCTATAAAAATGGCTCTAAACAAATTCTAAAACAGCAGAACCCACAAAAAGGCAGAGTGAAACAAATTTCCAGCCCAAGACAACCTAGATGGTTGATCAGGAAAGGTATATCACACTGGTTGGGAAGAGGAGCACAGTTTGGTGTGGGCACAAAGGCCACAGTGAACATGGAGCAGGCCTCAGAGGACTGAATCACAGGCAGCTGGGGTGGTTTCCTGATTCTCAAACCATGAAGGACAAAGGCAACTCAGAAGGTAAGTGGGAAAAACTGTTTCTGTGGTTGTGAGAGAGGAGCACAGGGTCTCAGCTCCAGTTCCCAAACTTGTCCTTGGGGTGGCAGCTGCCTCCTGATCTTCTGGCTCACAGAGTGAGGGGGAATTGAGTGGCTGATCAGAGGGGGATTGCAGGGATCTCTCTACTGGTGCAGGATTCTCTTGCTTTGCCCATGCTTGGATGTGGTTCACAGTTCTTGGTGGTGGTCCTGGGGGATGAGGAGCACTGGCACAATGGAGCTTGTAGTGGCTGTGAAGAGAATACCCTCACAGTTCCAAGGGAGAAAAGAGTGCTTGTGGTCACTCATAGACCAGAGCACAGGACAGGAAAGGAGTAAACACCTCTCCCTTGATCATAGCACCTTGGAAGAACTGAAAATTTACAGGTCCCTAGAAGTATCTCTGAAAACAGCTGCACAAAACCCCTGAAGATTGGAACAGTACATTCTTCACACTGTAAACAGACTCCTACCTTAACAAAGAATTTATAACTCAAGTAATTGGCCGAGATCATGAGCAAGCAGTGCAAAAAGAGTCAGACTATATTATCTTACTTTGGTGACAAAGAAGATCAAAACACACAACCAGAAGAAGACAATGATGCTCCTACATCCAAAGCCTCCAAGAAAAATATGAATTGGTTCCAGGCCATGGAAGAGCTCAAAAAGGATTTTGAGAAGCAAGTAAGAGAAGTAGAGGAAAAACTGAGAGTGATGCTAAAGGAGACCCAAAAAAATACTGAAGAAAATAACACCTTAAAAAATAGCCTAACCCAAATGGCAAAAGAGGTCCAAAAAGCCAATGAGGAGAAGAATGCCCTAAAAAGCAAAATTGGCCAAATGGAAAAGGAAGTCCAAAAGCTTACTGAAGAAAATACTTCCTTAAAAATTAGAATGGAAAAATTGGAAGCTAGTGACAATTTGAGAAATAAAGGAAGGGTAACACTAATCCAAAAGAATGA